GGAAAGAGGAGGATGCCAGAAATCTATTAGGATTTGACCTTGACTCAGTAAAGATACTTGAAATGGAAGAGGGAGAAATTCAGAGGATTAGGAAATTAGGTGGAGGAATAGGATTGATGCAGACAGTGACTCATAGACAATGAATGGGCCGGAAACAGAACAAAGAGGGGATTTAAGAGTGTGGATTTCAGAGTAGATTTACGGATTTTTGTGTTTCTGAGTCTGGGGACTCCATGAAAGCTGTAAGTTTACTCAGCTCTGTTTGGCTGAGCTGGAGTGAACAGGGTGGCAGGCAGTGCAGCAGGGATGAGGTCCTTGAGTCCTGATGGTGAGGAAAGAAGAGAGAGGATGTAGGAGGAGATGAGGAAGCAGGAGATATGAATGAGAGGTTTAGAGGGTAGCATGAAGAGGATGTGGGGACTGACTTTACATATGGTCCCGGAGGATAGAGAGTGGGTGGGCCTTGAATGACAGAGGGGGTGTCAGCGTGCCCAGCCGGGATGGAATCAGACCAGGACCTTCCACGCTGCACCTCTCAGAGGAGTAAACTGAGTGGTATCTTTTGACTTAATGGAAAAGAGATGCAGGCTCTGGCCTCCCAGAAACCCTGACCTTACTCTCAGCTCTCACCCTTCAAGTTCAGACTATTTTATGAACATTGCATCTACTCATTACCTCCAGAAACAGCTAGTCCCCTTTAGTGTGAGGGACACCCACCCAGTCATTCTCCAGATCAGCTGCCTGACTCGCCTGCCTGCCTGACTCAAACGGGCTCAGAGCAGAGAGGTGGGTGCGGAGAGGAGCCGGTGCCAGGCTGAGGAGTGAAGGGACACCATGGACTGGGCGTCAGGTAAGGGGTTCGTCCTTGAGGCCAGGCCGGGGTGGGGCTGAGGAACTGGATGCGGGTCCAGGGACATTGCCTGGAAGTCCTGACTTTGTCCATGTTCTCTGATTCTGAATGCTTTTTCCTAGCAGACATCTCATCTCCCAAGGTGACGCAAATCTGCTCCCTATTCCGAACGGAGCGGTAGCCAGGTGACACATTTATTACTTCCTGGGCCTCAAGGTGGAAGATAAGGTATAGGACAGGCCTGGAGTGCTGAGATTGCTCCAATCTTCTGCTAGCGCCCTACTCCCATCTTAAACACAGACACGTGAGGTGGGCTGCCCGGGCCCAAGTTCCGCCCGTGCCTTCCCCCAGCTTACCTCTCTCCTCACACCCAAGCGCAAGACTCGTCTGGCTCCTGAGCGCCCCTATAGGCCTCTCAAATTCAGCATGTGCACAAGCCAACCGCTGGCCCCTGCCGCCGCTCTGCTTCCCAGCCCACATCCTCCTCTGGGTTCTCCTTCATGGCCAGAGGCCAGGAGGTGGCCAGGCATTGTGGAAACTGCTCAGGTTTTGGAATTAGATGGGCCCGAGTTTAAATCCTGGCTCTGCCACCATCCATAGTTATTCAACATCTCCATGCTTCAGTTTCCTTATCAGAAAATGAGGATAGGGCTTCCCTGGTGGCGCAGTAGTTGAGAGTCCGCCTGTTGATGCAGGGGACACGGGTTCGTGCCCCGGTCCGGGAAGATCCCACATGCCGCAGAGCGGCTGGGTCCGTGAGCCATGGCCGCTGAGCCTGCGCGTCCAGAGCCTGTGCTCCGCAGCGGGAGAGGTCGCAGCAGTGAGAGGCCCGTGTACCGCAAAAAAAAAAAAAAAAAAAAAAACAACCCAAAACAACACCAGCTTGTTATAGTTCTGGAGGGCAGAGTCTGAAATGGGTCTCTCTGGGCTAAAATCAAGGTGTTGGCAGGGTTGTATTCCTCCCGGAGGCTCTAGAGGAGAACCTATTTCCTTGCCTTTTCCAGCTCCTAGAAGCTGCCCCTGTTCCTAGTGGCCTTGTCCTCTATCTTCAAAGCCAACAACGGCATCACTCCAACCTCTGCTTCTATCGTCATGTCTCCTTCTCTGACACTCTGACTTCCTCCTTCATGTGTAAGGACCTTTACATTTACATTAGGCCCACCTGGATAATCCAGGTTGATCTGCAATCTTAATTTTCCCTTGGCAAGTAACAGAACAAAGTGGTGGTTTCCAGGGAATAGGACATGCACTTCTTTGTGGGCGGGTGTGTGTGTGTGTGTGTGTGTGTGTGTGTGTCATTATTCTGCTGACTACATTCAGCATCTCTGCTGCTTCTCTGAGCTCATTTCCCAACACTGTCTCCTCACTTCCTCCACTCCTGCCACATGGGCCTCTTTGCTTTCCAGGAAAAGATCAGACGTGCCAAGCAAGTTCCCACCCAGGGCCTTTGTACCCACTGTTCCCTTGGCCAAGAGTGCTTGCCTGAGGTGCCAAAGCGGCTCCTGCTGGCTTTTTACACAGGGATTGCCCTGACTTCTCTGTATAAAATAGCAATCCCACCCTCACCATCCCCTCCTCCCTATGCCTGTGTTATTTTTCCTCGTAGCACTTGTAGATCTTGGATGGATTAACATGTTTATGGTCATCTCCCTGCCCCTCCCCACTAGAATGTGAGTCCCTGAGAGTGGAGACTTTGCCATGTTCACTGCTGTCCCCCTGCACCTGACTCAAAGTATAGCAAAAATAGGTGCTCAATAAAAATTTTCCAAATAAATAATAAATAAATAGAACTCAAAGATTCATGCAAAAGCCTAAAGCTAAGTTACACATCTAAGCTCATAAATATGGATTAAAAACTTTAATTGATGAGTAAAAACAGAGCTGCAATCTACAGAAAACCTTAGACATGGTAATCAGGAGAAGGGAGAGTAGCACCATAAATCCACGGGAGGCTCTTTGCCAAGGATGTGTATTGGGCATCGTGCCCTTTTAGGGCAGGGAATGGCTTTCTGGGGGCACTCCCACTGAGAGCTCCTTTGAAGTGACCTTGAAAGCTGTGGGATCAGAGGACCACAGAACCCACTTGTAGGAGCTGAGGTCTGGGAGGAATCCCATCGGGTTCTAGCATTTCTCTGACATACCTGGCAGCAATTAGCTCAAGTCAGGAAGGGCTGTGAAGGCCAAGAAGGGAGATTATTTTATTCACATACCTTGAACAGTTCCTGTCCCATGGACATAAAAATACTTACTTTGGGACGAAAACAGATTTTGTTATCGGTTGGGCATACTTTTGTTTTTTTTGAAGCAGGAGGAGGAGGAGTTAGCCTGAAAGTGAAAAAGGAAATAACGAGAAAGAGAAAATTGGAAATTCAGAAACCAGGTTTAGCACTCCCCGGTAAGGGAGATCCCCACAGTGAACCCAAATTGGAATATATGGTCTGACAATGGGAATCTTTAAAATCAGGACGATCTTGGGGAACCTCAGGCTGAAGACCTTGGCACTTGTTCACTGACCAGGGGCTCCCGGGCTAGCAGCACAGCTCATCCCCTAGTTCTAGAAGTTCTTTGTCCCCCATGGAGAGGCAGCTGCCATGGGCCCTTTCCCTGCTGTGCTAATTCTGAGACTTCCTCACTGAAAATGACACTCAGCCCCAGCATCACTGGCTAGAGCGCTGTGCAGCCTACAGGCTGTGGAAAGCTGGGCTTTCTGGCCCTCTTGGGATTTTGCTGCCAATTTGACTGTTTTGGAAATCTTGTGAGAGAAAGATGGCTGTAATGGAGCCCAAGCCCCCAGGCTCCACTCCATCCCAGGTAGTCCTTATTTGGACTTCACTGGGGAGGTCTTTCTTGGTGGCTGAGGGGTCTCGATTAGTTTCCATGGTCCCAAGTTCCAGGGATCCCAGTAGGTGCATTAGATGAGAGGGTTGGGGTACCTGGCAGGTCAGGGGCCGCCTTGGCTGCTAGGTCAGGATGCCCTTGCTGAAATGGGAAAACAGCAGCAGAGTTACAGTGTTCAGAGTCAGAGCAACAATACTTAGAGACAAATTGGGAAGAACCCAGGGAAGGCCCAAAGCACAGATGACAGACTCTGGAAGTTGTCGTTGTGGTACAGAGTCTTGACTATAGAATAACACCTCACCCCTTGCCACCTAGGAGACTTGACTTGAAAGCAGTTTCACATTTGATGTAGTTGAGTGTTTACTATGAGCCAGATCCACAGTAAGTGATCAGTTATTGTTATGCCAACTTTCCAGATGAAGATAGTGAGGCTCAGAGAGGTCACGGAGGTAGCAAGTTGAAAAGCTGGGAACAAACACAAGTCTATCTGACTCCTAAGCACTTGCTCTTCCATCAGGTCACACTAGCTGTCTCTAAAGCGAAGAGGAATCCCTACAGCAAGTCCTTCATAGACCTTTCTGGAAAATCAGGTCTGTTAGTCAAATTATAGTGCAAGCAGATCTTTCAGTCTCTCTTTCCTGGTCACCTGCCTGAATTACACAATCAAAACTCTTCTTTCTTGACTCCATAAAAACAAAACCAAACACAAAAACCCCTGTTATGAAGGTTTGCGTGAAAGACAACTGTCAGATAAGCATGGAGCCTTGATCACACTTGTTTATCTTCTTTCTTTTCCAGAACCCCACGAAAATGAGAGTAAAGATTAAAAGAGATTTAATTCCACAAAAACAAAGAGAATGAGAGAGGAGACAATATTGCACAAGCGATGTCAGTACATGCTTGGCACCATAACTCCCTCACTTAGCTTCCATAGGAACCTGCAGCCTACGTGCCTGCAAAAGGCGTACAAACCAGCAGGAACCAATTTCCAGGTGAAAGCTCCCTGAGACTCAGGATTGGAACTGGTAGATTATCTGATGATTCTGATGGGTATTTGACAGATCTGTTGGAGCACATGGTAGGTCCAATAATGTCCCCCCAGCAAAAAAGTCTATGTTCTAATCCCTGGAACCTGTAAATATGTTACCTTATGTGCCAAAAGGGGCTTTGCTGCTGTGATTAAGGATTTCCCCCTCAACCATGCTTTTTTTCCCCTCTAGTTTATTTTTTATTGAGGTATAGTTGGCATATAATATTATATTATTTTCCAGTATACAATATAGTGATTTGACATTTATATACATTACAAACTGATCATGATAAGTCTAGTAACCATGTCACCTTGTAAAGTTATTACAGTATTATTGATTGTATTCCATAGGCTGTACATTACATCCCTATGACATTTATTTTATAACTGGAAATTTGTACCTCATGATCCTCTGCATCTATTTTTCTCAACTCTTTTTTTTTTTGGCGGTATGTGGGCCTCTCACTGTTGTGGCCTCTCCCATTGTGGAACACAGGCTCCGGACACGCAGGCTCAACGGCCATGGCTCACGGGCCCAGCCGCTCCGTGGCATGTGGGATCTTCCCGGACCGGGGCATGAACCCGTGTCCCCTGCATCGGCAGGTGGACTCTCAACCACTGCACCACCAGGAAAGCCCTATTTTGCTCAACTCTTTACCCCTCTCCCCTCTGGCAACCAGTTTGTTCTCTGTATCTATGAGTCTGTTTCTGTTTTGTTTTGTTTGTTCATTTGTTTTGTTGTTTATTTTTTATTTTTATGTTTTAAAGTCATTATTAAAGTTTTTATTGAAAATAACTCACGTTCACACAGGTAAGGCCAATATAGTGTGTTATCAGAATAGAATAAATCAGAGTTGCTTGGCTGGTTAAGGAGTCATATGGAAAGACTGGCAGGAAACTGAGTTTAAAAACAATGTAGATAACTAAAATATTTTCAAATGTTATATTAGAATTAGAAATGTTATACTAAAAATATACTAGAATTTTTGCAAAAGTGAAAAAGTGTGTTTTGTTTTTTAGATTCCACATGGAAGTGAAATCATGCAGTGTTTGTCTTTCTTGGACTTATTTCACTTGGCATAATAGCTTCTAGGTCCATTCATGTTGTTGCAAATGACAAGATTTCATTCTTTTTTATGACTGAATAATATTCCATTGTATATATATGGCACATCTACATTCATTCATTTGTTGATGGGTACTTAGGTTGCACAGCAAAGGAAACCAACAAGACGACAAGCTGACCTACTGAATGGGAGAAGATATTTGCAAACGATATATCTGATAAGGAGTTAATATCCAAAGTATAAAAGAACACATACAATTCAGTAGCAAAAAAAACAAACAATTCGATTAAAAAATGGGTAAAGGACCTGAATAGACAGTTTTCCAAGGAATATATACAGGTGGCCAATAGACACATGAAAAAATGCTTAACGTCACTAATCATCAGGGAAATGCTAATCAAAACCACAATGAGATATAGCCTCACAACTGTCAGAATGGCCATCATCAAAAAGACAACAAGTAGCAAGTGTTCACGAGGGTGTGGAGAAAAGGGAATCCTTGTGCACTGTTGATGGGAATGTAAATTGGTGCAGCCCCTATGGAAAACAGTATGGAGGGTCCTCAAAAAGTTAAAAATAGAGCTACCATACAATCTAGCAATTCCACTTCTGGGTATTTATATGGAGAAAACAAAAACACAAATTTGAAAAAACATATGCACCCCCCTATGTTCATTGCAGCATTATTCATAATAGCCAAGATACTGAAGTTAAAGATCTTGAGATGGGGAGATTATCTAGATTATCCATGTGCTCCCAAGGTAATCATTAGTGTTCTTTTAACAAGAACGTGGGAGGGTCAGAGTCAGAGAAGAAAATGGCCAAGTAGGAGTGATTGAGGAAGGGGCCATGAACCAAGGAATGTGGGCAGCCTCTAGAAGTTGGAAAAGGCAAGGGAATCATCCTCCCCTGAACCTACAGAAGGAACGAAGTCTTGCCAACATCTTGATTTTAGCTCTGTGAGACCCATTTCAGATTTCTGACCTCAGAACTAAAAGATAAACTGGTGTTTTAAGCCACTAAATTTGTGGTAATTTGTTATAGAGCACTTGTAATAGGAAACAGAAAATTTGGGGAAAAGTTAAAAATAGAAACATAGACACCTAAGAAAATTAAAATTGCATAATTACTGCAGGCTAACAAATATTGCATAAGAAAGTAAATAAAATCATAGTAAGGAACACACTCACATATATTAATGTAAACGCTTAATATTGATTTAACCAAAAAGTGATTTGTGACTGCACTGGAAGATTGGGGGTGGGGGTGGGGTGGAGAATGTTGGCCCAACCACCAGGTGACAGGGCCACTGTATCTAGCTGTCTGTGTTCCTCTTTGCTGGGGGACTGGTCAGGAGGTCTCAGGGATACAAGGGAAGGAGGTGGGGTGGAGCACACCAGGTGAGAAGATGGTGTCACAGGGGGCTAGAATTCAGGTAAGAATCTGAGAGGAGCCTGCAGCAGTAGTAAGACAGAAGTTCTGCTTCTGTTTAGGACCTTGTATCTGCTTCCTGTGAGAATGGGGCCAATCCTGAACTTGGGGCTTTAGAGGAGTCCCTGGAGCAAGAAGTGAGAGGCTGGGGCTGGCCAACTCCCAGCAAGTGCCTTCCCTATTCCATTTCTTGTCGGCCCATCTGGACTGAGCAGTTCTTAAAGGCCTGGATCCACCATGTCATTCTCTGTGCCCCCAGGGAGTCTGGCAAAGCAACTTGTCCATGACAGGTATTTGATAAATATTTGTTACCTGACTAATAAACTGGGTGGCTCTAATCACAGGGAGCAGTCAACAAGGAGAAAGGAGCTCCACAAGTGAAACTGTAAAAATGTGCAGAAGTAAATTATGGTACAACCACTCAGTGGGGTTTATATAGATTTTTTTGTTTTGTTTTGTTTTTTGCTGCACCACGTGGCATACTGGATGTTAGTTCTCAGACCAGGGATCGAACCCATGCCCCATGCAGTGGAAGCAGAGAGACTTAGCATTGGACTGCTAGGGAAGCCCTATATAGATTTTAACTGACCACTTTAAAGCCTGTGGAAACATGAAGAAATGAGTATGAACCAAGATATAAAATAGTGTGTATGCAGTGAATACAATTATGTAAAAGTTTGTACCAATATGGACAAGGGTTAGAAAAGAATATATCTAAAAATGAAAATTGGGCCAGAATGTCAGAATTATAGTTTTTCTTCCCCCCTCCACAACATTCTTTACTAAAATTTTCTTTGGGTTTTGGAATCAGATGGGTCTGATTTGCATGGAAGCTTCTCCACTTATCAGCTGTGGGACCTCAAAAAATGTACTTTCTCATTTCTGAGTCTCAGTTTCCTCATCTGCAAAGTGGGGACAAAAATTCATGCCTCCTCATTGTGCTGTTGTGCACATGAAACAAGACCATGTCAGGAAAGCTCTTGGCACACTGCCTTGCACACATTACATTCTCAAAAACTGGTAACTGAGTTTAGGAATATTATGAACCACAGTGGCATTTTGTTTACAGAAACTTTTATTTCTAAATTTGTGGGAGAACAGGTTTATTTTTGTGTTTCTGTTAAATTGAAATATGCTTATTGTAAAGAAAATCATAACACAGAAGAGTCTAAGGAAGTAAAAATTCTCCAAAATACTAACATCTAGAGATGACCACTGAAAATATTTGGATTAATGTCTTCTAGAATTCTCTCTAAAGAAACAGATTTATATAATTTTCCATAAATGAGAACAAACTCTACTTACATTCTAGATGTGCCTTTTTAAAACAATGTCATGAGCTTCTTTTAATGTCAGTAACTATATATATATATAGACAATAAGTTTGGGAAACCCCAAATACCCTGCTTCCCTCCCCCCAACTTTTTTTTTTTTTTTTTTTTTTTTTTTTTTGCAGTATGCGGGTCTCTCACTGTTGTGGCCTCTCCCATTATGGAGCACAGACTTCGGATGCACAGGCTCAGTGGTCACGGCTCACAGGCCCAGCCGCTCCGTGGCATGTGGGATCTTCCCAGACCGGGGCACGAACCCATGTCCCCTGCATCGGCAGGTGGACTCTCAACCACTGCGCCACCAGGGAAGCCCCCATATAATCATTTTTAAACTTGTTTACTATGGAGAGGTTTTTTAAATGTACAGAAGTAGAGAAAAGAGTACAGTGAACTCACACATCACCTAGCTTCAACAATGAGCAATTTGTGGCTAGTCTCATTCATCTATACTCAGCCCACTTTTCTAACACTAGATTATTTTAAAAGCAAATCTATAATTTTAATTATACTTAAGACAAATCTTTAAAACAAGCCTAGATTTGATTCTATATCATCATGACTTTGTAAATTTCTCTTCTATGAATGTACCTATTTATAATTTTAGCCAGTTTTATATTGATGAACATTTGGTTGTTTCCTTTTTTCACCAATGCTTGGTGTATATTCTTTTGCTCTTAAAAAGTAAAGGCCTCTCCCTCCAAATACTCGTGGGGATGACACTCAAAATAGTTAACAACCAGTAAGACAAGACTATGGAACAATCAGAATAGTCAAGGGTTATAGGGATGGAACAGGGTGGAGGACCCTCTCCCAACCCCATGCCAGGTATTAAACCCTTACCTGCTGAATCCTGAGGAGGTATGGGGGTGCCAGGGGAGGTGTTGGGGTAACCAAGGTGGCAGTCAGGGCATTCGAGGGGCTTGAACAATGTATATGCACAACCAGTATGTTAGTATTTCAGTATATCAATAACTGCATACAAGCTAAACGTCAGCCCTCTACCTCTGTACTCTCCCAAGAAGGAATCGCTGTTAACAGCTTTTTGGTTACCCTTCCAGAAATGTTCTGTAATCTTTAAAATTTTGTACACAAGTGCGAACACACTTTACACACTACACCATTTCTGCTTTTTTTAAAAAAAATATATAGTAGGCTATCTAATAGATATTTCCATATCAGCATAGATAGATCTGCTGCATACAGAGTGGCTTGATGCACACTGTATGGCTCTAAACATAGGGGTGTGTGTGGTGGTGATGGGGTTAGGATTCTTTCTCCTCATTATTTTCCTTTCCTGTGTCTCTCCCTGATGATTTTACCTGAGGATCAGTGGACCGAATGTGCCAACAGGTGACTCTGTAGTCACCAGTGAGCCAGCTGAGCCTCCAGAAAAAATTATATGAAACATCTTTCCAAAGGGCTTACCTTGGACTGCCCAAAGATTTGTTTTTCCCATGTGGTTCCTCTCCAAGCCAAGAGTCTTAAAGACACCACAAGGTTATAGAGAAACTGTTTCGCACCAACACAAAATCAGAATTCATTCTAGGTCAAATCCAGAGGGTTCCGGAACTCGAGAC